AACTCTTCAAGCTGTAAACTCTTTTAGCTGTAAACTCTTCAATTATGTTCTGCAAACGTTTTTGTTAGAGCGCAGCCCAATACTTAATGTAGGTAGAGAGCTAGGATAAACATCATTCGATACAGCAGCTTCGCGAGTTTCTTACCATTAGTAGCTAAACATGGTGCATCTTTTGGAGTGAAGGCGAAAATGGTTAGCATACCTTGTTAGATTCAATATTTACCTAAAAATTCAGCCCCGTTAACCCTACAAAAGGAAGCTGCCATGGTTAGCGAATGTGTTTTTTGTAATCAGCAGATAACCTCTATGCTGAGTTTTTCTAAGAAAATGGCGCCATTTGATTTCTCTCAATTTTCGTTCTTGACCTCTCTACTGGTTTGGATGAAATATTGGTGATTTTGAATTGACCCGAAACTCCACTCACAGCAGTTTTCAAACCCACTGTTAACGAAAATCCTAGTTATTTCGCGCTAAAGAGTTTTACAGTGAAGTTTCAAATGGAAAAATTTAGTTAAACTACGCAAGGTTGAAATTCGTTTGCACCTTGCTTGCGCTTTTTTTGTAAATTAGGATCTCTGTAAGAAACGCTATCGGGTCGTGATTAGCGCACCCCCGTATGTGCACTGTTCGTCAGGTTATGAGGTTGCATCTCGTTTTCATGAATTTCCCCCCAAATTTGAGAGTCGTGTATTTTGGCGGATTCTCATCCCTATAATGTGCCACCAGCAGCAAAACAATGTAAGAAATGTTGTCAGCACATTGAGTGATTCATTTATGCGGAGATTTGAAGATTTGCATCATACATGCGGTCAAACAGTTATGACTTCAAAATGTGAAAAATTCCGGCGATGTCGACGGACTCGGCGATTTTGCGTTCTTCGACCTTACCGAATTCGCCGAGAATTTCTACATTCCATCGTTATAACTGTAGTAAGATTTCACAACTCATTTTATTCTAAGTGCGCAATTGATCTCTCGTTCCAATAAACGCTCATAACCCCTATTCCATAAGAGTTCCGCAGATAAGGAAAGCAGATTAGGAATTAGGCCCGTATGCACGCACATCCTCGCGGGGAGGGGATGTGTGTTTTATTATTAAAATGATCCCGCTGGGGCTCCCCTCCCCTCCCCACGCGAACTCCCATACGCACAAAGACAATATCGGAGAAGAGATCCCCTGGGAGTAGGGGAAGTGAACCCCCTTATGCACAAAAGGGGATCGAGCGGGGAAATCACTTCGTTTCCGCTTTTCTATGGTAACTCTCCTTCGTTCTCATCATTTGACAGCTAGTCGTCTTCATTTTTCATCGGCAATCCTTCAGTCGTTGCGGTACGCGTGTCTGTTGTGATTGCCCGCGTACCAAAAACTGTAATTCTTACACCCATTAGACTGCTGTTTTCATGAATGTTGCTCACATTTCCCCATACTGCCCATTCTAGCGTAACGGTGTTCGACAACAGAAGTCAAGATGTCTCTGCAGTGAATGGGTAAGGCGTTATGCTGCTGAAAAAAGAGGGGGATGGGAGGTGCCGCGGCACTCAAATCAGAATCCTACTCATAACAGAAGCTGTAAATCGTGCCGGCTCTTCATGGAGGCTGTAGCTATTAGCGACATACCGTCTATTCCCTCAAGGGAATGATCCCCAGTGGCCATCCCTGTTATGCGCGAGTGGAACGCTGGGAGGTGATCAATCCCCTGGAAATCTTTATTCAGAACTAGGCAAATCTGATAATTTCTAGATTTTTTTCATGCAGCTTATGTTGAAATAACAAGTAAAGGCAATATATGATATAATACGATAATTATAACGTGTTTAGTCGACCTATGTGGTAGAAACTATTATGCATATGAAAATTGCGCAAATTTCTTAAATAATCAAAAACTCCTACAAATATTCGAAATTGACAGATTATTGCTCGGGCTTCTTTTCGAGAGGCGAATATAGAAGAAGAGAGACAAATTTGCAAGCTACAGGTCGCTAAGGGAAGAACCCGATTTTCAAAAAAAAATCTCTCATCAAGTTGAAAGAAATGTCTGGTAATAACTGATGGAAACCAAAATATTCGCACTGAGGGTCGCCCGATCGATACCCTGAAATCAACAACCGAATTTGAGGCAGCGAAAGAGTGCCGTAAAGAAATAGCTAGCAATGGTGAGGAGAAACCACAGAAACTACAAAACTGCACACTCTGAATTCTTCTATGAGAGAATTACGCCATAACATAACCGCTAGGAAACCATAACATGAAAATAGAATCACTACTTTGAAAATCAACATTATTACAACGAAAGCACGTAACGAGTATAACAAAGCCTTAGAACCAGTAATAGGGAAAAGAAGAAGAGACGACGGAGAGAGATACAATGGGAGAAGTGAAAGGAGAAAAAGGAGAAGACGGAGGAAAGGAACATAGGCACTCGAAATCACTATTCTTGTACATTTTTTTTCCAAAAGCCATTCTAGTACACAAAAATTGGCTAATAATAGGTTTTTTGGCGGGGTCTTTTGGTAGCCGTGAGCTAAATGCGACTACCGCAATGACACCATCCTCGCTGTAGGTGCAAGAGAGAGGATAGCTCCCCTCCCTTCCGGCAAGCGGGGTTCAAAGAAGGGGATCGTTCCTCTGGGGATCCAGCTCCCTTCCCCTCCCCAGCGGGGAGGTACGTGCATACGGGCCTTAGTGTTTTATGCCCTCCAATATGGCACTTTTCCCATATGAAAAGGCTCCTTCGACTGAATAAGCTTCCCTTGTTAGATAGAAGACGGAATGCTACCATCAAATGCTACAAAGACCTGTTAGAAAGCTTGTTCCACGAACTGTTTTTTTTTGATAAAAAAAGTGGAATTACTTTCGGAACGACCTAACATATAGGGTGTCCCAAAAGTAAGTACACACTTTTCGATTCTAAATAACTCTCTCCCCATTGAATTCTTCAATTAACTCTAAGTACGATTCAGTAAGGGTGGCATCAACTTAGATTTGCGGTATAACTTTAACGGTATCAACTTTTTTCATTACTATGAATTACGGTACGAACTTTGAAGAGGGTTTTGAACCATTTGTAACTACATATTGCTACAGAGTAGATACTCATGGAGCGAAAAATTTCATTATTAGGCTAAACTGGGTCGCTGCTCATTGGTATGAAACTGGCACTATAGCGTAAGGTTACTTTTTCATAAGTCATGCCAAAACCGCCAAAACGTTTTTCTCAGGTTTTTCAAAAATGTGATTGGGCGATTCAAAACACCTAAAAACTTGTACAGTCCGTGTCCATCAAGTGCTTTCTTTTCCGTGAACGCAATTAGCTTCGCGCCGTGTTCGCGCGCGTATGGCTCGGGCATTCAAGCTCATCGATTAGAGATCCGCAAGCATGGCCCTTGCGTTGTCCATGCGTTTCCATGAGAAAAAGGGAGTACGTAGCTGACATTGACTGTAAGTAGTGCTTGATGAAGTCAGCATGTCTGAAAGCACTGTACACAACTTTCCGGATTTTTTCGGAACTTTTAGTTCAAACGGCCCCTTTCAAAGCGACGCTGTATGCTGGAAGTTTCTTCGTAATTCTACAGTAATAAAGGAGGATGTATGATGCGCTCAGTACTGCAAATCTAAGTTAAGCATCTTATGATGCTTGAAGCTGACAAGGGATTAGAAATCAAAGTGGCCAATCCAGACAAGCTGCTTACCATTAGATACAGCATAAAACTTTGACTTCGAATCTGTATTCTGTATCTGCTTAGCGCCTTTGTGGACGAAGTCATGAGCAGTTTTTTTGCGAAAAATCGTATGTAAAAATTGCGAGGTTGAACACACTGTTGCACTTTCAGCTCACAATTAGGCTTCAAGAACGTAAAGTAACCTAGCTGTATGATTTGGCTTAGCACTAAACCGAACATGGCTCTGTGAGGTTGGATTTGCGCGTTGCATGCACGATTTCTTAGCAAAATTCGTCATCGACCACAGGGATATCAATTGTGTATTGTGTTGTAAATATTCAAGTTTTGCTCGTGTATTGTACACAGTATCCATTGGTTGATTTGAAACCGTTCCCATACTTATCTGATGTACAAATGCCTTTGTTATTAACGTGCAGCGTAGCTTGATGCCACCAAGTTATCAAGGCTTTTAATCGCGCTTAACCTTTAAACAGTGTTGTAAGAACAGTGTAGAATGCGCTGTTATCTGATTTCTTTCTATATAAAAGTAGAGCTAAGAAATGCACAAGTATCGCTTGGATCGCTGTGGTCAAGTTTCCATCTGCCTCAAGTACTCCTCGCGCTCAAGTTTGCCGGCTCCGATACAATCTGTCCTGTAAGCCAGTCCCGCGTGGCGTTGAAGTGAAGAAAAGCAACTAAACCTCGATTATCTTACAACGAGCACACAAGTTAGCCATTGTCCACATGGTGCATCGGCTCACCAAAGAGCCAAGGTCAGTCAGAATCTTCTAAAGTGCTGACGGATTTTTGAGAGACATTGGAATAATCTCTGGCACAGTCTCAGTTGCAAGTCCTGAGCTAGAATGGAGAGTTGGGATAGATCCTCTTTGTCCAGTACAGTCTCAAGTTTTGGGCTAAACTAGCAGTTGTAAATCTCCTTTTTGTCCTGCACGGTCTTAGTTGCAAGTTTTGAACTAGACTAGCAGCTGGAAAAAATAATGGCGATGCGACTAGGCACATCAAAACGGTTGCTCATGCGCTACTCTAACAAGTTAAAGACCATTGTTGCGCACTTCAAAACGAAAAAGTTGGAAACGTTGACCACTCCTCAAGACGAGGACGAACTTGCTGACAACCTAAGGCAACATGAAGGAATAGAGGCAATCACGGCATTCACGAGAAGATTGAGAAGTTTTTGAGGGAAGAGGTCACAGCGTCTCAAGTCCAGGGCTTGGACGAACAAGAGCTCAATAGCTTTGAGGAGTACCTCACGAAAGAGGAGGAAGTTCTGTTCCGCACTTGACTACTTGGTACTCCTCCAATCACGTAGACAGGCTTACACCGTCTGCGTGTCTCGGGCAAGGGAAGCAAGTAACACGCGACCGCAGGAAGCGGAGAAAACTACTTCACAAGTACAACCCAGATTGGGGAGCGAACTCCCAGCTTGGCCCATCCCTGCATTTCGAGGAAACATTTGGGAATGGAACAATTTTTGGGAGTTATTCAACGCCTCCACTCCCAATCATTGCCAGAACTATACAAGTTTAACTACTTGAAAATTTCGATGCGTGGTGAAGCCTATCAAGTTATCGAGAAATTCCAGGTTACTTCAAAGAATTACAGCAATCGAATCTTGCTCCACAAATATTGAGACAAGCAGAGTAATACACGACTACTCGACAGGCTTGAGAATGCATCACTAAAATCGCCGTAACTGAAAGGTTAACGCTCTCTTTTTGAAGAATTGAAAGACATTGTAGCGCAGCAGGCCCAGAAAGGGGAGCAGGTAGACAGTTAATGGTGCATAAGACAAATGCTATCAAAGTTCCAATTAGCTGTTCAGAGAAAAGTACTGCTAAAGAGGGACGCGCTTTCCCCAGAAGACGCGCAACGCCTGAACCCATTGTTGAAAAACCTTGAAGTGATATCAAACGAAGAAATGATATCACTTTACATGGAAAAAGGGACAAAGATGAGAAAGCAAGTTCTCAGTTTATGAGAAAAGAGCCTACAAGGTAACAGAACAGGTCGTGCAGTATTTTGGAAAGGACCATAAGTCGTTCTATTGCACCAAATACAAAACACCACAAAGGTCAAAATACCTTCGTGAACGAAAACCTTGCCTCATTTGTGCATTAGCACAACACCAAACTTCACAGTGCAAGAAGCGTTTGTGCTTCAAATGCCAGGGGGCACGTCACACATCCTGCTGCTTCAAGGTTCAGAACCCGGCGACCCAACAAGGGAAGGTCTGGTCTAACAATAAACAGCCGAAAGAAGAATCTAAAAGAACTAGACTCCAGCGAGAGATTAACGTTGTGGGTTCAGAAGGAGCGGAAACAAGAGAAACTGCTATACTCCAAGTTAACTCAGCATTCCATTGGAAAAAACATTTTTTCCTACAGGTGAATTAACAGTTTTGGATCCCAAAACCCCATCCTAAGGAAATTAGCGGTGCTACTAGACACCGAAGCAAAAACCTCTTTTATCGACACAGCACTGGCTGAGAAATTGCAACTTCAACCAATGGGAAAACCCAAACTTCATTTACATACCTTTGGCTCCGACCAAGTCGACAAAAGATTGTAAGAAAGTGATACTGAACGTCTGGAATGAGGAAGGACAACAATGCTCACTAAGCTTGCTCACCCATGATATCCTCACGAAAGCATTTCGGTTGCCAGAGCTGCAAGATACCGACATCCAGTTCATAATGTCGCAGCGTGTGCGTTAACCACTTTAGACTACTAGTAAAGCCATAGGTGCTTTTAGGCGCTGACCAATTATAGTCATTCGTACGGGCTGACACTAGCACATAACACTGACACATATCCCTTCCTTCTGGGCTGTTCTACTATCTACTCGAATGGGATACCTTTTTACAGGTCAAGCAGAAAGACCACCAATTATAGATACGATTTAGAAGAAAAAGAAGAATGGTGGAACGGATATTGAAGTTTAGAAGCACAGGTTAGCGCAATAAAGACAGCGACAAGTGAAGAAAAGGAAAGCTAACAAGATCTTTGGGAAAGCTTTTGAAAACTAGATGCAGCCGACACAGAGGAATTAGGAGTCCCAGAAAAGACTCAACAAGAAATTGTTGATAAGCAAGTTTGGGATGACTTCAAAAGAACCATAGAAAAGAGACGAGATGGATACTACGAGCGGCTACCTTGGAAAAACTCTCCAATAGATTTACCAGACAACAGAGCCATCGCTTACCGAGGGCTAAGTAGTCTGTGGAACTCACCACAAAAAGACGAAAATCTCTCAGACCAATATAACCAAATCTACCAAACTTCGTCTCAATATATTAGAGGAGGTTGAAGGAAAAGCACTGCCAGGAACCCGAATTCATTACATTACACATCAGGCGGTAATAACACCTCACAAGTCAACAACTAAACTCCGCATTGTATATGATGCTTCAGCTCACTATAAAGGATCTCCGTCGTTAAAGATGTCATACATCGAGGACCGGTGATATTACCCCTTATATAAGAAATCTTGCTAAGATTTAGAGTTGAGCATATTGCATTGATTTCGGATGTCGAAAAAACATTTCTTCAAGCATGACTTCACGAGAAAGACCGCTATGCTACACAGTGCCTTTGGTTGAGGAACACAGGCAAGCGCCCAGTCCGGATAATATTCAGAACTCTTCGGTTTACTCGAGTAACGTTAGGCTTATGCCATCTCCATTTCTCCTAGCGGCGACGACACATTACCACCTAGATCAATACACCAACAGCAAACTAGTAAGGGAAATAAAGGAAAATTTGTATGTAGATAATCTCATATTATGCGCAGACCATGCAACAGATGCGATTAATTGTGTAAGGAGAAGAAGTATGAGCAGTGCAAAACGCAGTGTCGCAAGCACCATAGCCTTAGTCTATGATCTAATGGGCTACTTGACACCACTGCTTCACAAACCCTTCGCTCTTTGTGGCAACAGAATTTTGACTGGGACACAATTCTGCCTGAGAAATTGACCGAAGAATGGAAGCAAATCATCAAAGAGATAGACGGGTTTGAAAAATTGATTTCTCGAGCGTGGTGCACAAAAGGAGAGGAATGGAGGTAATCGCATTCGCGGATGCCAGCTTAAAAGCTATGGCTACATGTGTTTATCTGCGCTCTAAGGATCAAGTGAACCTAATTATCGCAAAAGGCAAATTGCCTGCACTTGAGTCCACAGTCACAATGCCAAAAATGGAAATACAGTTGCAGCGGTAGAATTTGTCCAAAATTGCGGGATTGTCGGGATTCGCGGGATTCGCGAGATTCGCGACTTCCGGGATCCGCGAGATTCGCGGGATTTGCGGGACAAGCGGGATTTACAGTCTGCTCCAATCGGGATCAGGCCGGACCGTCGGCGTAAATTTGCGCGCTCGCAGCGCTAGCGGTCTGCGCTGCATGTGCGCGCTGTCGGAGAGAGCAAAAAGATTGAAGAGAGTGCAGAGAAGCAGGCCGTGGGCGTGACCGCGAAACCCTAGCGACGCGGTCTCGCGCCATGCCAATTTTGGCCTGGTTGGGATTGGGGCAGGCTTAGCTGTAACTTCTTCTAGAACAACTTTATATGAAATCTGCAAGAAGAATCGGTTTCAGCTTGATGAGACGAATCTTTTGGTGTACGGTATGTCCGTAATTCATGGTGACACGGTAGTCACATGGTGATACCTTGTTATTTTCTATGGTAAGGGTTTTGTGAACATTTATCACAGCGTAGATCGCGAATACCAGGTTCTGGTACGGAGTTCTCACTATCGAAAACTATCGCGAAAAATTGGGCAGTTTTTACCCTTATCACTGATATAAGCATTTGATCATTTATCACTGATAATGCCACATTTTTGAATCATTTTTGGCATATGGTAAAAAAAGTACTGTAGGAAACTCTGAGTGAATTTCTATCGTTCCTTCTCTCATTATAAGTGATCTACAGGCTTTTCTACTTCTATTGCTCGGTGAAATTGGTAGATCCCTCGCTGCAGCAATCGATCGATTTCTCATTGGCACATGCCATTGCTGCCAATTCTTACCTAAAATGGCATTTTTTCAGTTCGCTTCACGCCGAAGCCTGGGCTGAGATTCTGCACCTACATGGAAGATGAACGTGGGAATTGACCGCATGAATTTAAAGCCATTCTTATCTGTCGTTGTCATTGATATCATCAATTTATCATTTATCAATGATGATATCACAAAATTCTATCATTTTTGACATACAGTAAGAAATGTACTTTAGAAAACGCCGTGCGAGTTTTGTCGCCCTATCTCTTGCAGTATGTGATCTACAGGCTTTTTCGGTTCAGTTGCGCATTTGGTGCAGTAGATAGATCCGATCCCTCACTGCAGCAATCGATTGATTGCTCATCATGCGCATGACATCGTCTCCTTGGAGACGTTGCTCTTTCAGAAAACTTCACCGCTCTATAAATTCTGAATGAACCGAATTGCCTGTCAACAGGAGTTTCAACTATGAGCTGAACACTTCTGTTTTCTGCGTATGGACATACAGATCCAGATCCACGAAGGCGATCCGTCTAAGGTGCGAAACGGCGCAACCGGCGTGCTCGACATCATTCCATCAGAGTCCACACGTCCGCGAACGATGCGCGTACATGGGCAATTGCCTCCGTATCGAAGTTTTTTTTTGAATTCTCCTATGCTCTACTCTATTTCTTGCTATCTACAATAGCCCACAAAACGTGCAGATCTTTTTTGTATGTCGTGAACTTCCGGGGTTTTGCGAAAGTCCGCAACGTTCTAGGAGTTTTGCGACATTCCGGTTTCCGCGGAATCACGCGAATCACGCAAACTACGCAGCGCCATAACTTCCTTAGGAATATATGTATTCTAAATCCGAAAGAAGCGTTTAGCTGATCAAGTCAAATCTTTTGATTTACAGCATGTCTTCGATATTTCGTTATCAGTTTTCTCCAATTTGTCTGCGGACGCTTTTTGCAAGGATGCAACGCAGCGCACATCACACTTAGAAGACAACAGTAAGTAATTTTCGATGGTGCTTCTCCTGTAGATTGTAGTGCGCTAGGAAGTAGCCGCAGACTTTTTTCCAAAAGAGATAGAAGCGTTGGTGAATTCTGGAAAAATCACGAGTTTTCCACTTCTACTCGGCGTAACTTCCTTTGGAGTGAACATTTTCTGAATCCGAAAAAAGCGTTGTGCTCAGCTCATCAAGGCAAATCTTTCTATTTAAAGCATGTCCTTGATATTCCGATTTCAGTATTCTTGAAACTTTCTGCGGACATCTCTTCGTAAAGGTGTAAAACAGCGCGTATTGCCCCTAGTAGATTCCAGCAAGAACCTTCCGATAGTATTTCTTCCTTTAGATTATGGGGCGCCAAGAATTAGCCGTACACTACCCATTAAAGAAAATAGAAGGGCTGGTGAATTCTGGATAAATCATGTCGTTCTTTCTCACCATAACCCTAAAATATAAAGCTCTCTTGCTAAGCAGATGCGATTTTCGTAATCAGCAGGTTGGATAACCTCTATGAGCAAGTTTGCCGAGATGTCCGGGTTATTTCATTTTTTCTCGTTTTACGCTCTGAAACACGCCGGTGGATTTTAGTCAAAATGTTGATGATCTTGAATTGTAACGAAACTTCGCTTATAGAGGACACCTTCTTCACGAAAATCATCGTCTTTGAGGAATATAGGGTCTTTCTGCAGAGATATGGTGAGGTAACCCTAACTGCACCACAAAAGTGCATAACTTTGCCCGTACTTCTCGCGTAAATTTCAGAAAATCTGCCCGCTTATTTTTATAGGTTAAATTTACTGGGAAATGTGCCACCGAAATGCCTCAGGCTCTATTTTACAAAAATCGCCCAGTTACAAGCCTACGAAAACACGTCCTCATGAAATTTGCACAAAATGTAAAGGTCGCGTAATTCGTCGAAATTCCACCGTGAGTTGCGTCAAGAACACCCACCACCATAGTCAATACAGTGGGAATCCTTGGGCGAAGTGAACGTAATATCTGCAGTCAAAATGTCATGCAACCACTCACGGTGGAATTTCGACGAATTACGCGATCTTTACATTTTGTGCAAATTTCATGAGGACGTGTTTTCGTAGGCTTGTAACTGGGCGATTTTTGTAAAATAGAGCCTGAGGCATGCACCATTCGGATTTAGAATACATATATTCCTAAGGAAGTTATGGCGCTGCGTAGTTTGCGTGATTCGCGTGATTCCGCGGAAACCGGAATGTCGCAAAACTCCTAGAACGTTGCGGACTTTCGCAAAACCCCGGAAGTTCACGACATACAAAAAAGATCTGCACGTTTTGTGGGCTATTGTAGATAGCAAGAAATAGAGTAGAGCATAGGAGAATTCAAAAAAAAAAACTTCGATACGGAGGCAATTGCCCATGTACGCGCATCGTTCGCGGACGTGTGGACTCTGATGGAATGATGTCGAGCACGCCGGTTGCGCCGTTTCGCACCTTAGACGGATCGCCTTCGTGGATCTGGATCTGTATGTCCATACGCAGAAAACAGAAGTGTTCAGCTCATAGTTGAAACTCCTGTTGACAGGCAATTCGGTTCATTCAGAATTTATAGAGCGGTGAAGTTTTCTGAAAGAGCAACGTCTCCAAGGAGACGATGTCATGCGCATGATGAGCAATCAATCGATTGCTGCAGTGAGGGATCGGATCTATCTACTGCACCAAATGCGCAACTGAACCGAAAAAGCCTGTAGATCACATACTGCAAGAGATAGGGCGACAAAACTCGCACGGCGTTTTCTAAAGTACATTTCTTACTGTATGTCAAAAATGATAGAATTTTGTGATATCATCATTGATAAATGATAAATTGATGATATCAATGACAACGACAGATAAGAATGGCTTAAAATTCATGCGGTCAATTCCCACGTTCATCTTCCGTGTAGGTGCAGAATCTCAGCCCAGGCTTCGGCGTGAAGCGAACTGAAAAAATGCCATTTTAGGTAAGAATTGGCAGCAATGGCATGTGCCAATGAGAAATCGATCGATTGCTGCAGCGAGGGATCTACCAATTTCACCGAGCAATAGAAGTAGAAAAGCCTGTAGATCACTTATAATGAGAGAAGGAACGATAGAAATTCACTCAGCGTTTCCTACAGTACTTTTTTTACCATATGCCAAAAATGATTCAAAAAAGTGGCATTATCAGTGATAAATGATCAAATGCTTATATCAGTGATAAGGGTAAAAACTGCCCAATTTTTCGCGATAGTTTTCGATAGTGAGAACTCCGTACCAGAACCTGGTATTCGCGATCTACGCTGTGATAAATGTTCACAAAACCCTTACCATAGAAAATAACAAGGTATCACCATGTGACTACCGTGTCACCATGAATTACGGACATACCGTCACCAAAAGATTCGTCTCATCAAGCTGAAACCGATTCTTCTTGCAGATTTCATATAAAGTTGTTCTAGAAGAAGTTAAAGCTAAATCCCGCTTGTCCCGCAAATCCCGCGAATCCCGACAATCCCGCAATTCTGGACAAATTCTACCGCTGCAACTGTAAATGCAGCTACGCTCGCCATGAGAGTCGCAAACTCAGCTATCACACAACTACAATCTATTGTTAAAATAACGCGAGTAATCGTGCTCTCAGACTCGGAAATCGCCCTTCAGTGGATAAGGTCAAAACCGCAAAAGGGAGTAAAGGATATTCGTTGACGACTGCCCCGTTTCGTGCATTTACACCACCGCAGGCGTGCCTTCTTGGAGCATTTCCAGCTTGACAGTACGCCGCAGCGCGCGGGGATTTGGTAGCTCGCAGCATCCCTCTCCTTTAACTCTTTTGTTGATTTAAGAATTTCACATCGTTTTCTCTTCTTATTTTTTATTTCACGCATTCAGCCGTTCTAGTGTCTATGTGAGACCATCGCCGCGAGCAAAATAGAGAAAAGATTGACCTTTTTTGTAGTTGCAGTGGTGGATATCATGGCTATGATTAAGATCTCATGTTTTTTCAATGTTTTACATGATTTGATATGTTTCCTAGGACAATCCACTGAAATGATTACTTCAGCACTCCTAAATCAGGAACACCATGTGGGAGTGCTGAAATAAACATTACAGTGGTCTCATCCAAGGAAACTCCATGAAAGCCACCACTGTTTATGGACAAAGCACACCCTTCCACCTAATTCTGCCCGAGGCGATGGTTCACCGTTTTGAAAAAGAGTGTTTGGTGGGTAAAAAGGGAGAGAAATCCAGGAAATGTGCCTAAACAATTTCTTTCCTTACCTTTCAGTATTCATCAAAGTAGAACGTAGAGTATTTGAACATCGAGAGAACCTAAGAGATAGGGAAAACGAATGACTGACTGAAATATGTAAATTGAGAAGAAAAACGATGTGAAATACTCAAAAACAAAAGAGGATAAAGGACAGTGTTGCTGCGAGCTACGAAGTCCCGGCGCGCTTTAGCGTACTGTCAAACTGGAAAGGCTCCAGAGAGGCACGCCCACGGTGGTGTAAATGCACGAATCGGGGCAGTCGTCGACGAATATCCTTTAGGCAGGACGATAACTAGTCGGCTCACTGAAATCGGAAAGATTGTGGAAAATTTGGAGAAATTGGGATGCCAAGTGTGGTTTACACACGTACCCTCATCTGCAAATCCGGCAGATTGTGCTACTCGAGGTCTATCGAAAGCGGACTTACTCAACCACTTTTGGTGAACCGGACCGGCATTCTTGCGAAAGGATACAAAGGAATGAAAGGATATCACTCTTTTTCAACATAAAACCTCTTGCGATGAGGAAGAAACCACTACTGCGACAAGTATGTGTATTCAACACTCCGAATATCTGGATCCTCTAATACTAAAAAGGTATCCTCTAAACACAATCAAACGCATCATGGCATATTTGCTGCGATACATCAATCTATCGTTTTATCAAGCTGGTTACAGCCAGAGATGACGGCCGAGAGATTTAAATTGAGCGGCTCAGAAATTACCGTAGCTACCAAAGCTCTAATCAAGCAACATCAGCGACTGATCGCTCCTGAAATGTTACGAACAATGCGTCATTCAAACATAAAAAGAGACAAGAAAAGCCTTCTCCTTTGCTACGGAAGATTAGGCAAAAGCGAAATAAGTCAAAGCGCAAAGCAACCACTGATCATTTTACAAAACACCTGGTTAGCGGAATCCATTATAAGAGAAATTCACAACAAAGGGCATGCAAGTACAAACCACACGATGTTTGTGAACGAAAACTAATGGATATTAAAACTACGTGCTAAAGTAACTCGACTCATTCGTCGATGTGTTTCTTGCCAGAAATTCAACAACTTGCCATTCAAGTTTCCGGAGCAAAGTGACCTTTCGAAAGAGCGAGTACAACGAGCAAGGCCTTCCGAACATGTCGAACTGGACTACTTCGGGCCACTCAATGTTGCCCTTTCAAACGGAAGCAAGGGAAAATGCTAGGGATGCATAATCACATGCAGGATGACTAGGCTTATTCATTTGGATATAGCCCAGGGTCTGCCAACCAAAGCGTTTTTGTTACTGTTTCTCCGGTTCTTCGGACGCCGAGGAGTTCCTCGGACAATAAAATCGGACAATGCGCCGACTTTTCTTCTTGGAGAAACTATACTCAGGGAAAGTTATGAAGCTGCCAAAAATGACCCAAGCGTACTCAGAGAACTGAGATAGAGAGATTGTTTGGAAGTATATCACCCGTATGCTCCATGGCAAGGAGGCTTCTACAAGCGCTTGATCAAGTCAGTGCTCTTTTTGCACAAAACGCTCGGAAATCAGACACTGGCAATCGACGAACTGATAACGGTAGTTGTGGAGAGAGAAGCCTTACTCAACACAAGACCACTCTTGTACACAGAATCAGACAGCCTAAATGAAGTCGCCTTACGACCGATAGACTTCCTACAGAACGAACTACAGATGAAATACCCGGTGGATCTTTCTAGACAAGGAGAAGATGATCCAAGTCGTGTATCAAGTGAAGAGCTTGTTTTGCTACGAACAAAGAGGCAAACAATAGAAGCCCTACAATCTTCCTGCAAAGCTGTAGAAAAATTTTGGCAGGTATGGCAGACTCATTACCTGACATCATTGCGAGAAAAACATCAAAGAGAAGTAGGGAAGAAAAAAGCCGTGTACTTTGACGAAGTAATGATTTCCGATCCAATCCAACTTAGGCGGACGTGGAAGCTTGGACGAATTACTGAACTAGTCAGTAATTCTAGCGGAATCACCAAAGAAGCAGTATGCTGCCTTCACACCATAAAATCTTCAGATCGGTAAATCTGTTGGTACCTTAAGAGTTGGAAGAATATGATGATACAGAGGTACCAGATACGGACGCAGTAGGAAGCACGGCGACTGCAGAGAAGATACACAAAAACAGTACAATCTTCGTCCCAATCGCAAGAAAAAACTACAACGAAAGTAAGTTGGATACATCAGTATTACTAATTACTATGATTGGACTACTATGTACCAGTGGCGTACCGAGAAGGGGGGAGGCCCCCCCCCCGAGAATGGGTCGCGAAATTTTTGAAAGTTATCTAAATGTGTTATAAAAATGTGCAGAGGACTTGTTTTCACTTGTAAATAATTAAAATAATTTTTAAAAATTTAAATTCAAATTAGCATTGTAAAATTTTTTTTCGGGGGCTTGGGGTAAGGAACCCGGAAAAATTTTGTGAAACATCCCAAAAAATGTTTCGGGGTGCGTGGCTGGCGCCACGCACCTTCATTAAAAAAAATTTTTGTCGCCCCCCCCCCCTGAGCCGAAATCCTGGGTACGCCACTGCTACGTACACCACAAGGGGTCAAGGGCTACAAAGCAAGCAAGCAGCAAAGGATCTGAAAACTTCCAGCCGTATGAAATGTCGATCTAGAGGAATAGAACTGATTTTAGAGATTCAGGTCCCCTATCAAGTGTGTGTTGAGGAATTCCGTAAAACCCTGGAACGATCAGAATACAATAAGACAATAAGATTTCCACCCGAGATAGTACTACACGAACATAAGGTACAGTGGAAACTCAGTGTCAACGGGGCAATGGATCCTGGAAACATCATGTCCCTCCGCGCCATTTTGTGAATCAATAGATTGCTTCTTCTGTGCGTCACTCATCTTCAATCCCGAATGTTGGCCTGTGGGAGCGATTGCGGCTCTTACTTTAGCGATATACCTACTCAAGGGTGTTATGCCTTGTTATACATTCCTCTTGTAGTAGGAAAGCCAATTCGAGTTTTATTCTATGGCATCTTCATGATGCTACGCTATGTACTCAAGTGCTGCAGGAAAAAACGCCAAGAAGAAAGAAGGAACCGAAGACGGTCCTTAGAGTTAGCCCATCTATTGGCACTCATAATGATTATTCAAACAAGTCATACACTCAGAGGATGTCAAACCAGGGCCCGGCAGGAGGTGGCATTTCAGAATTTTGAACACGATATACTTTTTGAAGCCAAAATTTTTTACGACTTTTTCTTTGACCCTATTTTTGACCCCCGTAAGTCCCTGACAAACAGATATACACAAATAATAAGATGGGCGGCCTCAGCGCTTATTATAGTAGTACTACCTGGCTTTCCTGGTCCAGCCCGGGTCATCAAGGTTTCCAAGGTTTCAGCTTAATGGGTTCATCCGCAAAGGAATCTATAAAAAAACATAGAGTCAAAATTTGCACAAACTTTGACGTTTATATATCTAAGATACTACTCATTTATTAGTCAGCTGCGAAACTTTACAATTTACAATAACCGATTGCGATTGGAGCGCGCTTTCCGAGGCTGATCATAACGCTGTGAACCCTATTTGGGACTGTATCAAAGTGCTGCCTTGGTGGTTTTGGAAGCGGATTTGAACATCATGACTTATAACAACGGGCTAAGCTGTTTACGTGACTTTGTGTGTGTGTGTCTGTTACGAAATTCATGAAGCGTGTTCCAGCCAGCGTTCTAAGCCGAAATTTTGTATAGCGCATGCTACCTTCATGAAAGTCCAACATGCAAAAGCACGAGTACATTCGTTGAGTGGATCCCTCAGAAATTGAGCGCCAAACGGGTCCACCCGGCTTCTGTACCGCAAAATTCGGTCCGTATCACCACTTTTGCAGAGTCGTGGATGAGTTTGTAAGCAAATGTGCAAGCGATGGAGTTTAGCCAGAAAAGTGGTCGAAAGTTTACTACATAACGAAAACGGCGCCAAACGAATTGGTTGTGTAAATGGTCAATTTGCCAAGGTTCTAGCTAAGCGTTTGAGAAGATTTTCGCACAGAGATGTAGCTCACGGTTACCATTACCTTTATGGCGACTACCATTTCATGACAAATCCAAAAACCTATTCAAAATTGCGTTTGTCTTCCTGCGAAAAGTTTCATCCACGCGAAATCACCGATCTCACGTGAAAAGACTTTCTAAATGAGTGGTTGTTTACATTATATTCGTGGTAGTCGGCATAGCGCGGTGAGTCCCAGTGCCTCGATTTCACGAGAATGAGTAAGGCACACAGATAGCAGAGCCAGTGCGAACCTCTGCGAAGCAGAGGTGACGCACTGATATAGTAATACTCTCGACCTAGTCCACATTTATGTAAAAAAATCTGGGAAATTATGTGAAGGGAAGCAGGGAGCCACCCCAGGTGGCTCCCAGGTGGCGTGGGAGCCACCTGGGGTGGCTAATTTCGAAAAACACTTACCATTTTTTAAATTCACTTAAGTTTCTCATAATTCTTCATACTTTTTTGTGCTCATGGTCCTCCAACTACACAGCAAAATTGGTGCCATATCGTTACTTGTGCATTGAAAACGAGCCTATTTTGTTATTTTCCTCTTACAAAAATTGCGATTTGAATTCCCGCCTGCGGGCAGGCTAGCGATCGGAGCACAAAATCTTCACATTGCTGGAATCTAAGTTCATAGGACAGTAGCATCAACAAGGAATGATGAATAAAGAATGGTATGTGCATTGTTTATCGGTAAACAAAGGGGAAGTCGTATTTTGGGGTCCGGGGCTCCGCCCCGGACCCCAAAATACGACTTCCCCTTTGCTTTTTCGGGCCAAAAACGATATCCAGCTTGTGAAAGCGCCACCCCCGCCGGGCCCTGTGTCAAACAGTGGACATAATCAGCCATTCACCCACTCTATGTACAAATCGTGACGAAGGTCAAGTTTGCAAAGTCCAGCTGTCCGAAATTCTCAAACTGAACCCATTCAAGAGAGAAGCCTTCTTCAGATTGATAAAAAATCAGACAACCATCCATCAGATCCGCGCAACTTGGAGGAATTTACGTCTAACTTGCGAGGAGGTTACAGATCACTTTAATCGAGACACGATTTATAAAGTAGATAGCAAAAGGTGTCCTCATGTGGGATCATGTATCGGAAGCAAGCGTGCTCAGATAAACATCACAAGTATCATACCAAGCTCAAAATAAGTAATGAATACAAAATACTTACTGCGTAGAATCGTGTGGGGGTCCAGAATGTAATTGCTTTTACTGAAGCTCAGGATGCCTCTTCTATCGCATATACTTGACACATTCCTCACCGTGTATATAAGAAATTTTTCACTGCAATCATGGGCGCAAACTGTACTCATGAATTTCACCCATTTTGAAGCAAAAACAAGAAAAATAAAGAATTTCACAGCTCTCATGCCTCCCAATGCACCAATCAAATGAAAAGGTTTCTCTCTCACCTTAAGTTCCGTTAGTATGACACCAATGCCAATACTACGATCTTCTTTCATATCGAACGGCAATCACACTGCTCTTTGGAATGCCCACGTAGCCACCTCTCTTAGCTGTGAGTCAAAGAAAGCCGCGCCGACACTATATTGTGACGTCTATGAGGACTGCACATGTAATCCTGCAGAGACAAAAGCCAATTGCAAGTGTTCAGATACTCCAATAACGCAGAAAGTTCAACAATTTTCAACGACGTCTACCAGTAATCTTACCATCAATAACTTTTGAACAATCAAAGTAGCGACTGTTAACGCAAATGTGTAAAACATGATTTCCACAGAGCAATTATGTCGCTACTACAGGAGGAATTGCACACCGATATCATCGTCAGAGACATTTGCACGGTAAAAAACATGGAGTTAATTGGCTGCTACAATTGCAAAAAGGGGGCCTATGCTAAGATTAAGTGTTTTGCCTCTATGATTCAACAAGTTTCACAGCTCCGTGCGGCAGACAGGGAATCGAACCCTGTCTGCCGCATGAGAATAAACGCTACTCAAGTAATGATGCACATGAAATGTTCCGGAGAGCTTCTCACTGAATTTGAGGTTGGAGGGATCCTTAAATACACCGCAACCTTCCAAACAGTGCTTTATAAGTGGCTAACAGGGTGTAGTAAAAGTGATCCTTCAGGAATTAAATGGCCAGACTTTTTCCATCTTTTCATTTGTTCAGTCAATGGTATAAAATAGTATCCATCACGGGAATCACGTTAGTAGCCATGTTAGCCTTAACTTATCTCCGAATATCGACCTGCGGAGTAAGAAAAATCTTGATAGTCATCAAATTCTTGCCCAAAGCCATGCGACTCATATATCGGCTCTCTTGGAAGTTCATCTTTTGGATTGTGCTGCAATGTACTAAATGCTTTAAAAACAACGTGCATACAAAGAGGAAATTCTGACGTCTCTCAGTTAACAGTAGTGTTAGATCCTGATAGGATAATAGATATGCTTCAAGTTAGTCTAGAATTTATACTTCATACATATGCAGCCTTACTGCGGCCGAACTCGAGGGAGAAAGCACGTTCCTCGTAACAATCCTAAACATCGCCAGTCCTCAAGCAAAGTTTCTGGAACCCCAACTGCAAGCAATACTGAACTCTCTGCACAGACAACTCAATGTGGCTACTACCCAACGACTCGACCAGACGACACTTCAGACGGAACCAAGTTTTGAAGAAGCATCTGTAAAAGACCAGTTGTCCGTAACCAACACCTCCTTGCGCAACGCGATGCTGACAAAAGAAAAAATTTTGGGACTTGGGACATGGCACATCTTAACGGATAGAATCTACGATCGACAAGTTCAGGCTGGCCTTATCCCTCGAGCAAGACTTTTCAGTGGCTAGAGCGAGGCTCTAAACAAGAGCATATCGTGAAAGCAGAAGCCGTACTGAATTTGGTCAAAAGCATAATGACTTTTACAAAGCTCAGCATCAAAAATATGGAGGAGCATCTGGTGAAGCTCGAACGACAAGGCTGCACTGACGAAAAAACAACACTATCCGTTCGATCACAGGTGCGATAGTGTGAGACTTTTCTCACCCCCTCTTCACCCTGAGCGGGGACCAAGGTGACCCCCTTCACCAAAAGCCGAGAAAAAAATCAACAGTGAGGTAAGGTTAAGCAAAGGAGATATTTGTACGTGAATTGTCAGTGTATAGGAAAGGAGGAGTCTGTTGAAAAAAGTGCTTGGTGACGGGTGAGAGTAGTGATTTCTGGAGATTTTCGAGTTTTTGACATAAAAAATTCATAACTTTTGTAAGTGAACATCTTTTACGGCGAAATGGTCACCATTAGAACCGCCTCGTTCTCCGCTCTCAGAAAATGTACAGCATGTTTGAAAAAGTGCGTGGTGAAAGATGTGCCTAGTGATTTCTGGGAGTTTTCGAGTTTTTAGGATAAAAACATTTTCATAATGGGGGTACTCAAGTAGACGTCTTTTACAATGGCAAAAAAGCCTGTACTTGAGCACTCCCTAAAAGTCTCACCCACCCTTCACCCGGCACTTTTTATAATGGACCCCAGGGCAAAGCATATATTTTCTGAAAGCGGAGGACAAGACGGTTCCAAAGGTGCTATCTCCGTGTACAAGATGTTCATCTAAAAAAGTTATGAATTTTTTTATGTTAAAAAGTCGTAAATCTCCAGAAATTACTAAGACACCCTTCACCTAGGCACTTTTTTCAACGGACCCCAGGCAAAGTATATATTTTCTGAAAGCGGAGGACAAGGCGGTTCCAGCGGTGACCATCCCGGCGTACAAGATGTTTATCTAAAAAGGTTATGAATTTTTTATGATAAAAAATCAAGTATCTTCAAAAATCACCAAGCACACCCTTCACCCAGGCACTTTTTTGAAAGGATCTCAGACATGCTATATATTTTTCGAAAGCGGAAGACGAGGCGGTTCCGAGGTTACTATTTCCTTGCACCAGCTGTTCATCTGCAGTAGTCACGGATTTTTTATCTTGAAAACTCGAAAATATCCAGAAATCACTACCCACACTCTTCACCAGGCACTTTTTCAACAGACTCCAGGCAAACTATATATTCTCTAAAAGCGGAAGACAAGATGGTTTCAAAAATATTCCCTTGATGACGTTGCTGTACATCTACAGAAATTACGAATTTCTTCTTTGAAAAAAATTCGTAAATGCTTAAAAATTGTCTAACTCTTTCCGAAACAAATGTTCGCATGCACATTAACTACGGTAATTCCAAAACCAGGCAGGGCGATGTAAAAAAGGGAAAAGGAAATGTAAAAAAATACAAGGTGCTGGTCAGAAATATAACTGTATGCTAATCCAGCAGCGTATCACTTCACATTTCAGAAAAAAGACAAACAGTAATGGTAAGGAATTGGAAATTATGAACTTTGACTGGGAAAAATGATGGCTCCCCCGTCGACATTTTACGATTTCTTTACCGAGTAAAACACCCTTCACCCTGGAGGGGTTGTTGCGACCACTGTGACCCCCTTCACCCTGGAGGAGTCATTCTCACCTTATCGCACCTGTGCGTTCGATGTCAGCAGCTCCAAACAGCTTGAAGACTTTCAGCTAGAGCGAGATGATCAAGTGGCAGAACTGGAAGAGAAAAATGAGGAATGCCAAAAAGAGATCGTGTTATTGAAGATAAAGTTGAAGCATCAGCAGAAGGAGGTCCAGGCAGGCTGGTCAACCCAGATTGGGTAAGTCGCCAAAAGAAGCGAGAACGATCAAAGGGAAATCGAGCTCCTCAAAGAGAAGATAAAAATTGGCGATGAGGAGTTAAAAGCCGCCTTGACAAGTCTGAAAAAGCTAAAGGACAAAATTTCGAGGCTAGAGGACGAACTTGAAAAAGAAAGCCGCAAGTACTGGCGCACTCGTAAACAGCATCGGCACTCTGCTCGATTACGAAAAGAAGAAAAAGGAAGTATGCGAGGTGAAAAAGGAACTGAAAAAAGAAAATTCGCGCTCGGAGCAGATGAGTCAAAAGATGAAAGTGCAACATCAACAAGCGTCTTAGAAAATGATTGAGAGGAAGCAGAAAAACCTCGAGCGTCTACTGGACAGAAACGAAGAAATGCAAAAACAGCTGGATGAGCATAAAAAGAGAGCAAGAAGACTCCGAGAGGAAAATAACTATGATGCAAGTGTCGCATGACTTCTCAATGGAACACGGACCGACTACAAAAAAAACCCTCACGTCGACATGCCCGAAAGCTCTAGCGCATGGGAATCAAGCATGGAGCGACAGATTGATGAAATGGAACAAGTACTCCAAGGTTTATCTCTTTCGACAAATTGGGCATGCAAACGGAAGAGTATCTGGAAAACAATGCGCTTTCTGTGACAGAACAGGCAAGCATTTTTCGGACTCCTGTCTGGATTTTGTCAACGGAGACCTGGACATTGCTCGTCAGAAAGGATGGTGCAGGTTCTGTCTTGAAAACTCCCTCCCGAAAGAGAATGTCCGTACGCGAGGAGAGAATGTTGGTATTGTGCTCGACTTTGGGGCACCATTTTCGAAGATCTAATGCCTCGAGACTGTGGCCATCACGGGCCTTTTGCAATGTGCCCGATCTCAAGCCCGTCGCTAGACAAACGATCCTCGACGCGAAGCAGCAGCTAAAAGCAGAACGCCGGCTAAGTCACTGATGACGAGGGGAGTGTCGTCATCGACCACAGTGATATCAATTGTTTATTGTGTTGTAATTATTCAAGTTTTGCTCGTATATTGTACTACAGCATCCACCGCTTGATTTGAAACCGCTCCCATGCTTATCTAACATACAAATGCCTTTGCCTTTGAATCGCTGCAGAGCTTAATGCCACCAAGTATCAAGGCTTTTGATCGCGCTCAACCTTTAAACAGTGTTGTAAGAACAGTGTAGAATGCGCTCTTATCTGATTTCTGTCTATATAAAAGTAGAGCTAAGAGATGCACAAGTATCGCTTGAATCGCTGTGGTCAAGTTTCCATCTGCCTCAAGTACTCCTCGCGCTCAAGTTTGCCGGCTCCGATACAATCTGTCCTGTAAGCAAGTCCCGTGTGGCGTTAAACTGAAGAAAAGCAACTAAACCTCGATCATCTTACAACGAGCACACAAGTTAGCCATCGTACACAAATGGCCTTCAACGCTCATGACTTCGTCCACGATTGCGCTAAGCAGATATGAAAAGCAAATTTGAATTCTGTGTTTTATGCTACATCTAATGTTAAGCAGCTTGTCTGGATTGACCACACTGATTTCTGACCATTCCCATGTGGGGAGAAGACTTTATGGGAAGAAATTTGTTAACGATCAAAAAGTGGGTGCTTACTTTTGGGGCATCCTGTATATATAGGATTATCAACTTTCATGTCTTCGTAAAGCTCGAGTACCATTATGTGGAGCAAGGTCCAACTTAGATTTACAGTATGGACAGAATCATCAGTCGCTCTTCATTGAGAATTCGGTATGAACTTTTAGCATGCTTTACTGTGGAATTGGCCTTTTGGTGAAAAGAATTTCAAAAACTGGAAAGTTGTGTAGCAAGGTTTTCAGGCGTACTAAGGGTGCCTTCATGACGCACCGCCTGCCGCCGCTGGCAGCCCGTAGCAGCCCACAGCAGCCGCCAGAAGTCCGTAGCCGCCGCTGACCGCTTTTGTCATAGAAGCGCAAAATCACCAAATTCTTACTATTCTAAGTGCAACCGCTCACGCTTCCCGTCTTCCACGCTTTTTCCTTCCTGTGGTCGCAGTTCGATCTCATATATCACCAGTGGTCACCTCTGCTTCGCAGAGGCTCGCACTGGCCCTACTTTCTATATGCCTAACTCACTCCCGCATAATAATGACAGTGGAACTCACCGAGTCATGTCATGCAGGCTATCACGAATGATTTGTAAACAACTGCTCATTCCTAGAGCTTTTTTGTGTGAGATCGGTATTTTCACGTGGATGAAACTTTTCCAAGAAGAATAAATGCAAATTTGAACCCGGTTTTTAGACTTTTTATGGTCTGGTAGTCGCCATAGCGACGATGATCACCGTGGGCTACACCTCTGTGAAAAAATCTTCTCAAATGATTAGATAAAATCTTGGCAAGTTGAACATTTACGCAACTAATTTTTCTTTGGGCGCCATTTTCGTGAAGTAATCAACTTCAGTTCAATTTTTTGGTTAACGTCCATGGCTTGCATATTAGCTTGTCAAACACATCCACGACTTTGCAAAAATTGGTGATACGGACCTAATTTTGCTTGACAGAAGCCAGGTGGATCCGTTTGGCGTGCAATTTCTGAGGGATCCACTCAACGGATCCCCTCATGCTTTTGCATGGTGGGCTTTCATGCAGGTAGCGTGCGCTATGCAAAATTTGGGCTTAGGACGTTGGCTGGAACACGCTCTACGAATTTCGTAACGGACAGACAGACACACGCACACACACACAAAAAAACGCAAACACCCTTAGCCCGTTATTATAAGTTATGATACTTGTGTCCGTGTTGTTAAAACCTTGCTGCCGCGGTTTGGTTATCCTACTGGTGCTCAGGTTTCCCTCTCGCAGTTGAACTCAATTCGCCAACGTTTCTTTGCGGTGTAATTTCTTCTGATTTTGGATGCGTTCAGTCTCTGCAGGTATGTCATTAGTTTATTTTTTGAGTTGGTTTTGCTTCAATCATATCCACGGCCGGTGATTATCTTGAATAACTCTGTAATGTGTGAGTGTGGAACTGCACATTAGCTGCAATAGGATGAGAGACATGGAAGATGGAAAGCCTGGGCGGGCGCACTTAAAGTAGTAAGAATTTGGTGATTTTGCGCTTTTATGACAAGAGCAGCGGCGGCTACGGGCTGCTAGCGGCGGCTGCCGGCGCGGT